TCTGTCTGTCTGTCTGTCTGTCTGTCTGTCTGTCTGTCATAATCTATCTATCCATCCTTCCTCGAGGCTACTGAGCCTCGGTGGCGCAGTGGTTAGAGTGCAGTACTGCAGGCTACTTCTGCTGACTGCCGGCTGCCTGCAATTTGGCAGATCGAATCTCACCGGGCTCAAGGTTGACTCAGCCTTCCATCCTTCCGAGATGGGTAAAATGAGGACCCACCCAAATTGTTGGGGGCAATTATGCTGACTCTGTAAACCGCTTAGAGAGGGCTGTAAAGCACAGTGAAGCGGTATATAAGTCTAAGTGCTATTGCTATTTCCATGCATTTAAATATTTTTTTTAAAAAAAAAGTCTGGGGGACAGATTTTAACTTCTTCATCCTCCGCAGATCAGGCAATTATAGGCTGTTTTGGAAGTGTTTTGCACATCCGGCGAGGCAACCGAGAACATTCATCTGACAGTCAGAACTTTCCAATGCTGAACTGCTTGCCAGTGCATAAAACATCGGTGAGAACATGTTATGCAAAGCTCCCAGTTAAAGGCACATCTGTTGAACGACATGCCGCAGAGAATTCAAAGCAAGGCAAGGTGATCCAAAGTGATGTAACACTTCACCGAAAAAGCAAGCAAAAAAACCCAAAAGCTTCTTTTCTGTCACATGCAAATCCTAAAGTCTAATTGGAGACCGATTTCGACAAGTTTTTAAAGCACAGACATCATTTTAAAAATCCCAATCTGGCCACACATGGAACCACGTTAAGTTACCATATAACGAGATGAGGGGAGCAAGCTGTGTGAATGTGTATGTGTGTGTGTAGAGGGGGGAAAAAAAGGAGGGGGAAATACAGCAAATTGACTGCTAGCATAAAATGCAAAATGTTTTTTCTCGCAAATAAAAATGTTTATGGGATATAAATGCACTGGGTTTTTTTTCCCCGTTCTGTTTTCCTTCCGATGATGGAAGTATCTATTTGCAACAGTAGTGGGTTGCTACCAGTTCGCCACGGATCAGGCAAACCTGTAGCGGCGGTGGCAGACTCCGCCCACCCGCATGTGCAGAAGCGCACAAGTTCGCATGTACCCACGAGCGAACCGATAGTGACAGGTTTTGAAACCTGCCCCTGATTTGCAAGCCATTTTCTCATTCTATTTCAGGTCAGTAGCAGGAAAAAAAAAAAGAAATCAAACTCTTAGGCAAAATGTTTTTCATTCTCTTCTCCAAATGTGCCACTTCGGCAACAAACACACACAAGTGGATTAGAGAGACGTTGAATTCTATCTCACAAAGCAGCCTTTCCAACAGTACTTAGGTTTTTCTCTCTGACCGCTAAGTTTCTTTTCCTTTTCTTATTTAGATACCATTTCTCACTGTGTCTAAATAAAACACTTTTTTCCCTTAAATCTGGAGGTGGGAAATTCCTGATAGAGAGAACAATAAATGGAACACTTTGTCTTCAGGAGTTGTGGATGTTTCACCACTGGAGGTTTTTAAGAAGAGATTCGATAACCATTTGTCCGGAATGGTATAGATCTCCGGTGTTCTGACGTAGGCTTCCTTAAAAAGCAGGAAGCAGAGTTTTGGTCCCGACAAAACCTCTTTTATTGACACGACAGTGAATTTACTTTCATTCACAGTCAGCAAGTCTTGTCCAAACAGTTTTTCAAAGGAATATTTATCAACACAGACCTTATCTCGCTTGGCAAGCTGCCATGTAACTTGTTTCCAAATGCAGAACAAGGCAAAACTTGGCACAGAGTATCTTAAGAGTCACAAACAGAACTTTCCATTCTTGAAATGACCGAAGGAACAAATTGTTTCCTGCAAAAGCCCCCTCCCCGGTCACTCCTCTTTTGTTTCCTATGGGAGAGGCCAATCATCTCCAAGTTGTGGTTTTACTCCCGAGTCGACCCTGCTTTCTGAGTTGTTCTTGTCTTCTGGCAGCTCTGCGCATGCACACACTGGGAACGGGCTCCAGCTGTTCCTCTGCCTCAGTGCTGTCTAGCTCCCTCTCTGTCTCCAATGCAGAGCCCTCGTCCGAGCTTTCCCCAGCCCCCAGGACTGGCCCATGTTCCAACCTCCTCACTGTTTGACCCTGCTGCCAGCTCCACTGGCCGCTGGCGGGCCACAACATCCGGCTTGGGGATGGGGTTGGACTAGAAGACCTCCAAGGTCCCTTCCAACTCTGTTATTCTATAATCTGTCACCTGTGTTAAAAATTACAGTTTAGCGAGGTATGTGAAACCAGTCTCTACAAATGAGGCTTTCCTTGCAAAATCCACCTACGGTGGGAGAAAACGTGGAGATTCACATGCCAACTGCCTAGATAATGATGTTTATTCCCATACCTGGGAAGAGCTGGATGGGCCACCAGAATTCTTTCCAGCTGGTTGCACACATCCATTACTGCCAGATGTTCATCTTCTCATGAGTTTGTGGGTGGAAGACAGATTAATTTCCCTGGAGCATTCCTGCTGCTTATAGATCTAAACACGCAACTAGCTAGAGTAGCATCCATAGGGTGACCAAGATAAAAGTCACAAAAACGAAGACAGGAAACAGTTTTAAAAAAAAAGAAAGAACAGAACAGAAAGCGATAGGATTGGCTAGGGAATTCTAGGAGTGGAAGTCCAACACTTCTCAAAGGGGTTGGGGTGGAGATACATTGCTCCAAGGAAGACCATCCCTTTCCAATGTTTTTTTTTTTAGAACTTAAGTTAGATACAGCAAAGAAGCTGGCAGATGCCATGCATACAGGCATACAGGTGTTTACAACGTAATGTTCGCATCCCCGTATTAGATTGATTGGATCTGTCATCTTATTTGTGCGGAATTTGGCAACGCAGTCACACCTCTATGCACAGAACATAGTCAAGCATTGGTTTTTCTCCTTGCTAAAGGAAGCATGACTTCATAGAAGATTATAGGTAGTCTTTGTCTTAGGACCACAATTGGGACCAGAATTTTGGTAGCTGAGCCATGTGGTCATTAAGCAGGTCATGACCTGACCAGACCTGATTTTACAACCATTTTTACCATGGTTGTTAAGTGAATCTGGCTTCCTTCATTCATTGACGTTGCATGTTGGAAAGTTGCAAATTGTGACCGAAAGACGTTGCAACCATTGTAACCAGTGATGGGATTCAGCCGGTTCAGGCAAACCATTAGCTCAATTGCTGGCTGGCTCTGCCGTGCCTGCCCCCTTCCAAGAGTCCCCAAGTGCCCCATTTTGGCTCCCAGGTAAGTGCACGGAGGCTTCCTGGGCCCAAAATGGGGCACGGGGTGTATGTGACGCCCCCCACAGCCCACTTTCACTCCCAGAAGGCTTCAGAGAGGCCTCCTAGGCCCAAAACAGGGCAGGGAGGTGCAGTGTCCCCCTGAGGCCCGTTTTCGCTCCAGGAGGCTTACTAGGCCCAAAACGGGGCACGGGAGGGCGGTGCATCCCCCCTTTCAGCCCGATTTTGCTCCCAGGGGGGTGCAGGAGGCCAAGTGCTGCTTGTCACACCCCCTGGCAATGCCCATCATGGCCACACCCACCCAGGGCAAGGAACCAGTTGTTAAATTATTTGAATCCCACCACTGATTGTAACTGTGAGATGGTTGCCAGGCACCGAAATTGTGATCACATGGCCACAGGGGTGATGCAACAGACATAGCCTTGAGGACAAGTTGCAAGTCACTTTTTTTCAGGGTCTTTGTAACTTTGAACCATTGTTAAACGAATGGTCATAAGTCGAGGACTACCTGAATTTTTGCTAAACCTGTTGCAGGATAAGTGACAAACATTTCTAACCAGCCATGACAGCTATGCCTGACCAAAACACACAGATGGCTGAGATTATAAATCTTCCTTGCCAAAAGTCCTTTCGTTCACGCCCTGAACTGCAGTCCACCCCATGTTAACATGTCCTTAATGAGAGCGTAATTGTGCGTGTAGGTTAGCTGCACTGAAAAACGAAAGGCTGAATTGGACAGGATCCCCGTGTAATTAATGTTGTGCAAGAAATGGAAGGATGACCAAAGATGAGATTGATAAGATAGGGGAGCAAAAAAAATAAAAATAAAAATTGAACAACGTAGCTGTGAGAAGTGGAGAGGCAAGGCGATTGGCTGGAGGAATGGATTTGGATTGAAAAGTGATGGGATGGAGAGACGGGATTTAATATGAAAAATAGATTCAGAAGGTCCAGAAATCTAATCATTGGACTGATGAAAGTGAGATGGAAGCTGAACGGCATGCAGATGAGCAGATAATTTTGAGAGAGAAAGAGACAGAGACAGAGAGAGAGGAGACAGAGACAGAGAGAAAGAGAGAGACAGAGAGACAGAGAGACACACACACACAGAGAGAGAGACAGAGAGAGAGAGACAGAGAGACAGAGAGAAAGCGAGAAGGAGAGGGAGAAAGAAAGAGAGAGAGAGAAAGAGAAAGAGGGAGAGGGAGACAGAGACAGAGAGAGAAAGAGAGACAGACAGAGAGAGAGAGAGAAAGAGAGAGAGAGAGAGAGAAAGAGAGACAGAGAGAGAGAAAGAGAGAGAGAGAGAGAGAAAGAGAGAGAGACAGAGAGAGACAGGTAGAGAGATACTTCTCCTTTACAAAAGAGAGAGAGAGAGAGAAAGAGAGAGAGACACAGAGAGAGAGAGAGACAGAGAGAGAGAGAGGGAGAGAGAAAGAGACAGAGAGAGACAGAGAGAGACAGGTAGAGAGATACTTCTCCTTTACAAAAGAGAGAGAGAGAGAGAAAGAGAGAGAGACAGAGAGAGAGAGAGAGAGAGAGAGACAGAGAGAGAGAAAGAGAGAGAGACAGAGAGAGAGAGACAGAGAGAGAGAGAGACAAACAGACAGAGACAGAGAATTCACAAGGAAGATAGGAATAAAATATTAAGGGGATTGGAGTTACAAACACTTCAGAAAAGACCTGATTCCAGAAACAGCACCATTCAGTTTAATACCTTCATGTTCAATCAATGGGTTTCAAACATAAATTCTTTGATCCCTACCTAGTTGAATCCATCCATCAAGGAAAGCATCTCAGGTTTGCCTGCCCACAGGGAAAGGGCAGCAGTCATGGATATTATGACGTCATTGAACAAGTGAGACAAATGATAGGTGGGTCAAGGTTACACACACATACACACACACACACACACACGACATCCATGATACACTCACCGTTTTTTTTAATGCCTATACACACTCAGCTTTTGATAACCCTCAAACTGGCAGGTCTCTAAATCATAAATCCATTCATACGCAAGAAAACCCACCAATCTCGGAGAGTACCCAAGGACCCCACAGACCCACAATTCAACCTGCCTACATTAGACTGAACAAACAAACCGCGATGCAATTTATCTTCATGGATCAACACGAAATCCCACGAGGTACATTTTTGTTTTGTTTTGTTTTTGTTTTGTTTTAAAAAAAAGAAGGGTTAAAAGTCCTTACATTTGAAATGAAATCCATTAAAAGCAACGTTCGAGATGAACAGACATCTGTAGCTTATTTTCTGAAAGCGTTTTATGTCGCTTATCAAATCTCGGTACGCGCCCCGAGAGCACGAGAGGATCGTGCCTTTTATTTTTTTCCTTATTATGCCTCCGAAAATTAGCCCCTCGCTCTGTTTTGCAAGGTCAAAGCAAACAGCCGTCGTTCTCATTCGAGTTAATCCCAACCCACCTCTGTATGCGCTGTGGCCTCTGCTCTTACTAGATTTAATCAGCGCGAGAGTCCTGGTTCAGCATAGCACAACATTATCACTCTGTTCAGCAGAAAGCTTCCACACCTGAACCGCCTGAAAATGAATGCAGGTAGTGGAGTTCACCTTTATGACTTATGAGGGGGGGGAACCTCTCCTCCTTCCAGACTGCAATTTGGGGGGGGGAGGAGGGAAGGAGGGCCCCGCCAAAGACACACGTCACTCTTCAGCAGTTCAGCTTCCAGTCAAAAGACTGGCAGCCTTGAATTTTTCCTCTGCCATTTTTAGGAACCATTTGCATGCCTCAAAAATCAATGGCTTTTGAGCTGTTTCTCTTCCCCACGTCCGACCCCAAGAAAAGCAAATTGCGGTGAAGCATTCAAGGGATGGGAAGGTTGCACGTTCCTCAATTGGGAGGGATAAATGGAGGAGGAGAGGAGCTCCTGTTTTTCATTGCGGAATCACAGAGTTGGAAGGGATCTGGGAGGCCTTCTAGGCCAACCCCCTGCTCAAACAGGAGACCCTAGACCAGGGATCTCCAACTTTAAGCCTGGAGGACTTCAACTCCCAGAATTCCCCAGTCAGCTTTGCTCTGCTGGATGGGGAATTCTGGGAGTTGAAGTCCACAAGTCTTAAAGTTGCCAAGGTTGGAGACCCCTGCCCTAGACCATTTCAGACAAGTGATTGTCCAATCTCTTCTTGAAATCTCCAGTGATGGAGCACCCACAACTTCTGGAGGTAGGCCGTTCCACTGATTAATTGTTCTAACTGTCCGGAAAGTGCATTGCATCTGAGCTCTCTTCATCAAAGAATAATATTTTTTATTCAAAGGGTGGGACTGGAGGCTAAAACATATAAAGAACGGTTGCAGGAACTGGGTATGTCTAGTTTAATGAAAAGAAGGACTAGGGGAGACACGATAGCAGTCTTCCAATATCTCAGGGGCTGCCACAAAGAAGAGGGAGTCAAGCTATTCTCCAAAGCACCAGAAGGCAGGACAAGAAGCAATGGGTGGAAACTAATCAAGGAGAGAAGCAACTTAGAACTATGGAGAAATTTCTGACAGTGAAAACAATTAACCAGTGGAACAACTTGCCTCCAGAAGCTGCGAATGCTCCAACACTGGAAGTTTTTAAGAAGAGTTTGGATAATCATTGGTCTGAAGTGTTGTAGTTTCCTGCCTAAGCAGGGGGTTGGACTAGAAGACCTCCAAGGTCCTTTCCAACTCTCCTCCTCTCCTCTCCTCTCCTCTCCTCTCCTCTCCTCTCCTCTCCTCTCCCCTCCCCTCCCCTCCCCTCCCCCTCCCCTCCCCTTCCCCTCCCCTCCCCTCCCTTCCCTTCCCTTCCCTTCCCTTCCCTTCCCTTCTCTTCTCTTCTCTTCTCTTCTCTTCTCTTCTCTTCTCTTCTTTATAAAACATATAAAGAACGTTTGCTGGAATTGGATATGTCTAGTTTAATAAAAGAACGACTAGGGGAGACAAGATAGCAGTCTTCCAATATCTCGGGGCTGCCACAAAGGAGGGAGTCAAGCTATTCTCCGAAGCCCCCGAGGGCAGGACAAGAAGCAATGGATGGAAACTAATCAAGGAGAGAAGCAACCTGGAACTAAGGAGAAATTTCCTGACAGTTAGAACAATTAATCAGTGGAACGACTTGCCTCCAAAAGTTGTGGATGCTCCAACACTGGAAGTTTTTAAGAAGATGTTGGATAACCATTTGTCCCAAGTGGTGTAGGGTTTCCTGCCTAGGCAGGGGGTTGGACTAGAAGACCTCCAAGGTCCCTTCCAACTCTGTTCTTCTCTATATTAGCCTTTCCCAGTTCCTCATCCTTCTCAGCCACTGGATTACACAACAGATCTGTAGGATGTCCATCTGGGAAAGGCTAGGCACTGTGACTTAATATCTCTCAATGACAGCAAGCGAGGAGGGATCGCTTTTCCTTCCACTGGGCAAACTACTTAAACCCAGTTGCTTGTATTTCAATAAAAAATGAAAATTAGCCATATAAATTGCAAGACCTCAGTGAGTTTCAAATCCTGGGAGGATACAACGGCATCTTTGCCACCAAACGTCCTTTCATGTTTATCATTTTGTAAATGATAACATGCAGGAGACAGAGACTTCCGACAAAATCAGAATGGTATCCCGACCAAATCCTTTGTTAGATTGGCAATTTGTACCTGCCAATCTTCCACACTTACTAGATAACAAAAAAAAAAAAAAAAAACACCACAACAACAACACGGGTTGCTTTTCTGCAACCAAGAACACATTCAGTCCTAGCAGTCCTCGGCGTACGACCTCGATGAGCCCAAAATTTATGTTGCTACGTGAGATACTTGCTAAGTGAGTTTTGCCCCAATTAACAGCCTTTCTCGCCACAGTTGTTAAGTGAATCACTGCAGCTGTGAAGTTAGTAACACGGTTGTTAAGTGAAGCTGACTTGGCTTGTCAGAAAGTCACAAAAGGGGATTGCATGAGCCAGTGGTGGGTTCCTCCCGGTTCAGCCCGGTTTGGCCGAACTGGTAGCGGTAACGATATGACATCACCGAACCGGTTCTCTTTGTTCGGGAGATGGGCCCTCCTGCCCCCCCTACCCCTCCCCCTGCATTATTCTTACCTTTTATTTGGCCCCATCCCCAATCTATTGCTGCCTCCTGAGTCCCAGCTGATTGGCTAGAAGGAAAAAAACTGTTTAAACTCTTGCCGCAGGGCTTCAAAGGGCCATCCTACAGCTGATCAGTGTTAAAAGGCAATATGGTGGTAGACCAGTGCCTGCAAAAATGAATGAGTAGACCGGTGCCTCCAAAAATGAATGAGTAGACCGGTGCCTCCAAAAATAAATGGGTAGACCAGTGCCTGCAAAAATGAATGAGTAGACTGGTGCCTCCAAAAATAAATGGGTAGACCAGTGCCTGCAAAAAATAAATGGGTAGATCGGTAAAAGCCTGGTAGACCAGTACCTCTGCTAAATCCTAAAGAATTGTCACATGACCATCAAGCCACACCCACAAAGTAAGCCACACCCACAGAATCGGTAGTAAAAAAATTTAGAACCCACCTCTGACATGAGCCCAGGACATTGCAACCATCATAAATATGAATCAGTCGCCAAGTGTCTAAATTTTGATCAAGTGGCCATGGGGATGCTGCAATGGTCGTAAGTGTGAAAAATGATCCTAAGTTGCTTTTTTTCAGTGCCAGTAAACTTTGAATGGTCACTAAATGAACGGATGTAAGTCAAGGGCTATCTGTATGTGAATGGCAGAAGCTCTTTTCCAGAAACACATTAAGCTAGATACAAAAACAGCATTACTTTCCAAATGGATTGCGTGGAGAGATATCCAAGCCACTCCATCCCTTGGACATGACAACCACAACTCCAAAACATTAGGCTGAGACTACACACACTAAGCCAGATGCCATGTTGGGACCAGTTTCAGATTACCTTGTGTGAAAACACACCATGATTGTTAACACGTGGGTTATGAGTGTTGTCCCTTCCATTTTAGAAGCTCAAAATGGTTGTGTTGTAATCCATCTTCAAACTGAACCCTCACAACAACAACCTTATGAAAGTAGTTTGTGGGGAGTGATGATGGGTCCAAAATAATTTGGGGAGCTTCTTTGATCAATTCCAGGCCAACAACCCCAAAGGTGCTTTTTTCAAGAGGCAACTACCCTGTTTCCCCGAAAATAAGACCCAACCGGAAAATAAGTCCTAGTGTGATTTTTCAGGATGCTCGTAATATAAGCCCTACCCTCAAAATAAGCTCCAGTTAAGATTGTCAGCCAGATGGTTGCATCTAATACTGTATTTCCCCAAAAATAAGACCTAACCAGAAAATAAGCCCTAATGTAACTTTTGGAGCAAAAATTGATATAAGACCCGGTCTTATTTTTGGGAAAACACAGTAGACTTTCTGGTTTTTTTCTTTGAAGACATTTCGCTTCTCATCCAAGAAGCTTTTTCAGCTGTGGCTGGACGGTGGGGAAACTGAAGAAGCTTCATGGATGAGAAGTGAAATGTCTTCAAACAAATAACAGAAAGTCCAGTTGCCTCTTGAAGAAGCACCTTTGGGACAACCATGACCTGGATGATGGAGAATCTCCATAGACATACAGCTACACTACTCATTTGATTTGGATTTGTGGTTAGCTTTGAACATATTGACCTCAGCTACCAAAAGTTTGCAAATTATAGTTTTTCATTTTCTATGTGAATCATGTTACTATGGCTTGCTCAACATCTCATATTTTAATTTTTGAAAAGTACGTTAGTATGACACACGAATCCAACAATATAAGTTGTTTCAAAGAGGTAGCATGCTGTAATCTTCTCCAACCTTGGCCTCCAGATTAGGCCAGCTGATTCCCAGAATTTGTAGACCTCTAGTACTGAAGAGGTCTCACTTCTGAAGAATATCAGGTGGGGCGAGACTGACCCATTTAATATTAAAATACAATTTGTTCTTTTTTTTTTAATCAATATGTTACAAATATCTTACTCATCTGAATCAATCTACAAAAATTAGAATCATGCAAAGTGTGATGTTCCCTGTGACACTCTGGGGAAGCAACAGATGGACTTTGAAGAAGCATGATAAGAAGAATATTGATGCCTTGAAAATTGGTGTTGTGGAAGACTGTTGAGAATACCATGGATAACCACAAAAACCAACCAATGGATCATTGAACAACTCAACCCAGAGTTCTCACTCAAAGCACAAATGACCAAGCTCAAATTATCCCTCTTTGGTTACATTATGTGAAGATTTCTCTCTCTGGAGAAGGCTCTATTGCTGGGAAAGATGGAAGGAAAGAGAAGAAAAGGATAACCAGCAGTCAAGTCTACGGACTCACAGTGGTGATGGGGACACCATTGGAAGCCCTGAAGGCTCGGTTGGTGCAGAACTTCATGCAGGAAACCTATGTGGTCACTAGAAGTCAAAGACAACTTGATGGCACATAACCAACTGATTATATGCTTTCCTTCAGGAGCTAAAGCAGGCATACATAAAGGTAAAGGTTCCCCTCGCACATATGTGCTAGTCGTTCCTGACTCTAGGGGGCAGTGCTCATCTCCGTTTCAAAGCTGAAGAGCCAGTGGTGTCAGAAGACATCTTCATGGTCATGTGGCCAGCATGACTCAATGCCAAAGGCGCACGGAACGCTGTTACCTTCCCACCAAAGGTGGTCTCTATTTTTCTACTTGCATTTTTCAAATGTGCTTTCGAACTGCTAGGTTGGCAGAAGCTGGGACAAGTAACGGGAGCTCACCCCATTACACGGCACTAGGGATTCGAACCGCTGAACTTCCGACCTTTTGATTGACAAGCTCAGCGTCTTACCCACTGAAACACCGCATCTCTCATAGGCATACATAGTCCACCCTAATTTTTTTCCAAACAGCATTCTAGTTAGGTGCGATAAAAGAGATTTGGTTGATTATATCCCCCTCTATGTTTTAGAATTAGGGGACGAGGAAGAAAACAGCTCTGTTCCATTTTAAGCACAAGGTATATATTATATTGGAGGTCTCACTGAGATCCATTTTACTGCCTTATAAAAAAAAGTATGCAAGACTACAGCCTCAGAGTGCTTTTCTGAACAGGTCTCTCTGAAGCAAGGTAAATTTTTATTGCAAGATTATTAATCTTTTTCCTTAAGGGGGAAGCATTGAGGGGCCTTGGCAATCCATACCTAAAAAGAAACACACACTATAAGGAAATCTAATTGCAACCATTAAGGAGCATTTCTGTTCCTTCCAAATTCCTAATTTTTTTTTTCCCAGCGCAGTTAAGCCGCATCTGCATAACCCCAAAACAACAAGACATGGAATATTTGGGGGGAAAACAGCTCCGTGGACTGCAATTGGGTCTGGAAAATTAAATAGCAGACAGGAGTGAAGCTAGGCACAATCCATTTTTGTATTTATCCTGGGATAACAAAAATTACATAGGAAGCACAAAGGGCTAATCAGGGGTGCACTCAAAAGATATTTATGTCCCACTTTCTCCGCTAATCAAAATCCGTTCGAAAAAGATCTATGGTGGGTATAAACATTTAAACAGGATGGATGTGTGAACCAGACAGACAGCAAGGAGGAAGAGGAGGAAGAGAAAATTACTAGCAAACCGTCCAAAGTCTGTGCTTTTAAATAATAATAAAAAAAGGATACTGTAAAAGGAGAAAGAAATGGGATCACCATTGTCCAGATGTCCAGATTTGCTAACTAGCATTCCTGTTTAATGCCTTAGGGGAGAACCAGAACAGAGGTTCACCCTCTATCTTAAAAAAAATATTAATTTTGGTTAGCCCAAACCACAATGGCCTAGCTTACACATCTCATCCTGAGTGTTGAACCATGGTTTACGGGCCACAACACACCCAAACCCTTAAAGTTAGCCTAGTATAGGAGCTCAGCCACAGGTCCTTCCGTTGAGTTAAACTACATTTTGGAGACAGCATTCCCCTTCTGTAGTAAGGCGTCATAGTTACGTTATGCAACATACTCGCTTTTGCCCAAAACAGAACGCCTCTATTCAAACAATATGTTGATAAACCCAATCCAGTCTGAGGTTTAACATGTCCTATAAACCTAGATAATTCCAAACTTCTTTATTTTGCAGAGGGTTTTTTTTCAAGCATGTAAAACAAACTGAAACCAATTATTTTATTCAGTAAACCTCTATCAAGCAAGCCAGGGATTAAACAGTTATGTGAACCCAGCCAAACTGTGTATGTATGTGTGTGTGTGGGGCGGGGAGGATGGGGTGTGAGAAAAAGGAAGGAGTAATTTCCTACAACTATAAACAAAAGTGCCTAAAACCTTGTTTTGCCCAAGAGCCTTCTAATTCCCATGTTATCCCCTCGCTTCATTTTGAAAGCTTTCTATCTGACTGGTTGTTCCCTTTTCATCCCTTTCTTCTTCTTTTTAAATAAGCGAATAGATCATTTGCTGGAAATGCCCCCAGGAGGGATTTGACTCTCCCAAATCCAAGTGGACAGTTCAAGATGTACAGAAAACGTCTCTCTCTCTAGGGATACCAGGCGCCACACCGAGTTCTTTTCATCCCTGTAGATTCCCTGAACTAAGCAGTTCCATACAAAAAAAAAAGCCCCTGCCAAACTCTTGGATAGATTAGTGTGCCAAATATATTTACTGGCCAGGATGAATAGATAAGGAAGTCCAGCGAGAATCTCGGCCAGGATTGAGTGGACGCTGGTTGGCATTTCCACTGGCCACAGCTTTTCATTTCACAAAATTAAAAAAAACACACACAAACGCTCCAAAGGTGTTTTCTTTTCTTGTTCTTGTTCTTTCTTTCTTTCTTTCTTTCTTTTTGAGCCTGGACGTAGACAAAGTAGAAAAGAGATGAAGTCACCCGCACGGGAATTTTGTCCCTGGGTTTTCAATCAGTCACGCCCTATTTGAACGGACGCGTGATCGAGCCTGTCTGAATTAAGACTCCATCCATCTCTCTCTCTCTCAGTCTCTCTGGCTGGGGGGCACCCCAAGGAAAGAAAGACCCTCCCCGTTCTCAGACGATCAGGAAGGAGAGAAAAAAGGTGGGAAGGGGTGGTCCCCCCCCCAAGAAAGTGGCAAAAAGAAAAGAGAGGGGGAGAGGAGAAGAGGAGCTGGAAGAATTTCTTCAGCCCCTGAACCAAAGAACTAGCGAGTCCCCAGCTGCGAGAATAATTGGAAAGTGAAAACCTCTTTCAATGAATGGTGAGGAAGGAAGCAGGGAGCGCAGAAGATTTATGGCAACGAAGCAAGCAAACATGGGAGCTGCGTTTACTACTCAGAGTAATGGAGCAGAAGCGAAGAGGCTGCTATTTGCAAGCGGAGAGGGCCAGAGAAATGGTACCGGGCCGATTATAGGTTTGTTTTTTTTTTCCTTTTAAACGTATCAAACTAGCCCCACAGGATAGCAAATCAGGAAACCTTTCCCGCTCTGCCCCCCCCTTCTCTCTTTCATTTTCAGCTCAAGCTGAAGTTGGAATAGTTCACACGGCGAGACTGGCTGGGCTGCGTGCGCCCCTGGGTGTTCTCCGGAGCTACGGTCTGTGCGCAAATACGCACGCTGACCACCCCTTGCCTCCCGAGATGCGCAAATCATGGCTGGCTTTTGACAAAAAAAAAAAAAAAAAAAGACACGGAGGGGAAAAAAAAAACCCCCCCCCCCCCCCCCGACCTCCCCCCTCCCCCCCCCCCCCGGCCAGACCATCCATCACGGACTGAAAGGAAGAAGAAAAGCGAGAGAAGCCAGGCGGAGAGAAGGACGGAAGAAAAAGGAGGAAGAAGAAGCAGCGCATCCAATTCGCAAGACAAACCCCTCGGCCAGGAACTGGGGATGGGGAAGAAGGGGAGGGGGGAGCTTCCCCATCCCACCCCAATGCTCTGAGTTACAACCTCCGCCAGCTAGCCATTAGCTGGGAGCGATGGGCACTGTAGTCCAAGGCGCCTCGCCAAAGCAGCGGGGAAAAAAAAAAGAAGGGCACCGCTTTTGTTCCCAAGTCAGGGCTCGCCTCCATCTCCTCGTCCGTCCTTCCACGCTGAACTCGAAGGGGGGGGGGGAAGGCGAAGTGGACGCCCAGGGAGAGCCACCACGGCTTCAGAGGGTCTCGAGCGCCTCTTTCCCCCGCCCCCCTTTGCTCCCCCCAAAGCTTCCCGCGGCCGGCTTTTGGAGCAAAGGACTCCAAAAAGTCCTTCCATCCAGATAGGCAGCATCCCCACGTACGTCAAAAAAAAAAAAAAAACCAGACAAACCCGGGTACCAACAAAGCTCCGAGTCTGCCCCGCCTCTCCGGAGCCCCGAGCTCGCCAGCCACACCCACAGCACGCAAAGCTTACCGGCCGGGCATCCGCCTGGCAGCCCCGACGGCGCTGGAGTCAGGAACGCAGCCCCTAAACCCGTGGCGCGGCGTCGTTGGCTTTGGTCGGTCGTCGGAACGCGCTGGCTTGGGTTGGCTCCTTCCTTTCTGGGTTGGCTGTTTGGGTCTTGTTTTTGCGCCCGCTTTTTCCTCTCGCTGCTGTTCCCGGCGGCTGCGAAAGAGGCTCTCCAGCCAGCCAAAGTCTCTCCCCCCCTCCACCACCACCACCACCACCCTCCACCCTCTCGCGGCTTCACTTCGGCCGCTCCCACCTCCTCGGCCCTCCCCCAGCCATTTGTGGCAAGCTGCCTGGCTGCTTCTGGCGAGGAGGAGAGCGAGGCAGGCGCCCCTTTCTCCGCATGCGCTCTCACGAGATCGCGCTCGCAATCTTGCTTTCTCTCAACCCCCAACTCACCGCCCACCCCCCCGTGGCAGGAGTTTAGACGGACTTAAAGGCCCCTCGACGGCCGGCGGGTTGGGGTCGTCCAACGAGAACTGGCGAGGGGTTCCTCTTTGCCTGGATCTTCTGGGGGCTGTTGGAGTTTGGAAAGGATGCTAATTGGGGTGGGGTGGGGTGGGGGTGGGGTCTCTTCCAATGTCACCTCGTTTGGATTATTGTTTATTGTTTAGATTTATATGCCGCCCTTTCTCCGGAGACTCAGGGCGGCTTACAATGCGTTAAGCAATAGCCTTCATCCTTTTGTATATTTTACACAAAGTCAGCTTATTGCCCCCACAAACTGGGTCCTCAATTTACCTACCTTAGAAAGGATGGAAGGCTGAGTCAACCTTGAGCCTTGGCGAGATTCGAACCTGCAGTAATTGCAGGCAGCTGGTCTTAATAACAGGGTGCTTTAGACCACTGTACTACCAAGGCTTAAAGGCCCCTCCACGGCCGGCGGGTTGGGGGTTGTCCAACAAGGATCCTCTTTGCCTGGATCTTCTGGAGGCTGTTGGAGTTTGGAAAGGATGCTAATTGGGGTGGGGGGGGGTCTCTTCCAATGTCACCTCGTTTGGATTATTGTTTATTGTTTATTGGTTCAATTTATATGCCGCCCTTTCTCCGGAGACTCAGGGCGGCTTACAATGCGTTAAGCAATAGCCTTCATACTTTTGTATATACCTGCTTAGTAGGGCTTTTTTTGCCCCCCTCCCCCAAGCGGTGTTCTATTTTATACAAAGTCATTTTATTGCCCCCAACAATCCGGGTCCTCATTTTACCTACCTCGGAAGGATTGGAAGGCTGAGTCAACCTTGAGCCTGGTGAGATTTGAACTTGCAGTAATTGCAGGCAGCTAAGTATTGTAGCTTATGATTCTTGATGAACGTATCTTTTCTTTTATGTACACTAAGAGCATATGCACCAAGACAAATTCCTTATGTGTCCAATCACACTTGGCCAATAAAGAATCCTCTCCTCTGCTCTTCTACTCTATTCTATGATTCTTGACGAATGTATCTTTTATGTACACTGAGAGCATAGGCATCAAGACAAATTCCTTGTGTGTCCAATCACACTTGGCCAATAAAAAATTCTATTCTATTCTATTCCTATTCCTATTCCTATTCCTATTCCTATTCCTATTCTATTCTATTCTATTCTATTCTATTCTATTCTATTCTATTCTATAGCTATATTTCGCGCCCCCCTAGAGGCAGAGTTAATATAAGGTGCAAAGCTTCCTCAGCTGGGAATGAAAATCCTAATTTCCTTCTCAAGAAACGAAGGCAACTCGACCAGAATTTAAAGAGATCCAACTTGCTCCTGGTAGATTACTTCTTCCGTGAAATGATCCAGGTTTGGAAATTGCCCTCAGACTCTCTATTCCCCTCTGTTGGCATGTTGGTGGAAACGACTCACAATCTATTCTGTTCTGTCTGTATTTCTTGGATCTGGAGACCAGTTGTCTCTCCAATCTCTTTACCTTTCATTTCTTTCTTTAAAAAAAAAAAAAGTCTATGACATAGGGACTTCAACTCCCAGTATTCCCCAGCCAGCATGATTGGCTGAGGAATTCTGGGAATTGAAGTCCACATGTCTTAAAGTGGCCAAGGTTGAAAACCTCACCTAAGCCTTTGTCCTCCAGATATGCTTTGATGTACCATAGTTACTGCTCTGTAATCTTCTTCAGTTTCCTGAGTTTTCCTTCTCTTCCTGATTGTTTTCCATGCCTTCCTCTTGATGGTGATGCTTTTTCTTAAATCTTTGTGGTCCCCCTGGGATGGGACTGTGCCTTTATCTCTCTCTCTTTTATTTTATTTATAATTTTTTATTTATTTAATTAATTAATTAAATTATTTATTTATTTATTTATTTTATTTTATTTTATTTTATTTATTCATTTCTTATTAAAATATTGGACACAGTGCGGCCATCCTGGTGTTATCTCCTCCATACACACTAAAATATGAAACAAATAACATATATACTCTTCATACATTACTAATTATATTGGGCCTTGGTAGTACAGTGGTCTAAAGCACCCTGTTATTAAGACCAGCTGCCTGCAATTACTGCAGGTTCGAATCTCGCCAGGCTCAAGGTTGACTCAGCCTTCCATCCTTTCTAAGGTAGGTAAATTGAGGACCCAGTTGTGGGGGCAATAAGCTGACTTTGTATAAAATATACAAAAGGATGAAGGCTATTGCTTAGCACATTGTAAGCTGCCCTGGGTCTCCAGAGAAGGGCGGCATATAAATCAAATTTTATATATAAATTTATATTTATATTTATATTTATATATATATATATATATATATATATATATATATATATATATATATATTCTATCCAATATACTCATTTATATTTACCTATATTACATCACGTTCAGGATCTGCAAATCCTGGTTATTTCCTGTTCTTTTATCTTTATTATGTGCCTTCATCTCTTTTATTCCCACCCTCGTTGTCTCCTTTGCCCTCACAGTAATACGATCTAAATCACACTGCTTTTTATTTATCTGAGACTTAGGGACACCATCCGTAATCAGGATGCCCCGAATGGCTGACTAGGTCTCCAGCTCAGGGAATTCAACAGCCTCTCTGACTCCAAACCGCCCCTTGCCCCCCCCCCCCTCCCATTACAATCCCCAGCTGACACTGTAAATGCTCTTCGGCGATCAATACAGAACTGGTTCGCCACAGCTGCTGGGGAAGATGAAGATATGAAGCTGAGATCTTTTCCTTTTTTAAAAAATGAACTCTTTCCCTCCGTTTGCGTGACGGTTTCCTTCTTAGTTCAGCTTAAACTGGAAGGTCTGTGTGTGTGCGGGAGGCTTAAACCAAGTGAAGGATAGTCATTTTCACACAGGCACTGACTAACCCCACCACACAAAAACATGTAATGCAAAACACAAAAGCGTTTTGGGATTCAGGGGTTGGTAATGGCCGCTCTCAAAAATCCAGATATGGATTCAGTAGCACCAGCTGATAAAAGTTTGGACTCCGAGAAGTTTTGAGAAAGAAGGAAACTGAGATTTAAAACAAAAAAAAAAAGTTTCTAGGCTCCAGCAAAGGGAGTAATGAAAGGTTAAGTGGAAAGGGGAAAGTGAATTTCGAAGGATTTTCTTTGACGCTGCAAGAAGAAATAGGGTGGAAGGAAATAAAGAAATCGCATTTTCTTTTATTTAAGGGAAAGTCTATCCCTGATCACCAGAACTGCAGGTGATGTCATCACAAAAAGCCCAGCATCTCAGTGAAGACTTAAAACCCACCATTCTAAATAACCAATGGGAGTATTTGGTTGACAAGTTAATCTAATAAAGGTATTCCCTCTATTTATTTATTTATTTATTTATTTATTTATTTATTTATTTATTTATTTATTTATTTATTTATTGGTTCGATTTATATGCCGCCCTTTCTCCAGAGACTCAGGGTGGCTTACAATGCGTTAAGCAATAGCCTTCATACTTTTGTATATACCTGCTTAGTAGGGCTTTCGGTCCCCCCAAAGTGGTGTTCTTTTTTATACAAAGTCAGCTTATTGCCCCCACAATCCGGGTCCTCATTTTATCTACCTCGGAAGGATTGGAAGGCTGAGTCGACCTTGAGCCTGGTGGGATTTGATCTTGCAGTAATTGCAGGCAGCTGGTGCTACTTTAACAGCGCTTTAGTCTGCTGCACCACCAAACCTCAATGAGGTTTGGAATCTTGTCATGAGCAACAGAGCTGTTTATTTGTTTGATTTTTATCCCATCTTTATTACTTTATAAGCAATTCAAGCCAGTGAACCTAATATGCCCTCCTCTTCCTGGCTGGAGAATTCTGGGAGTTGAAGTCCACAAGTCTTAAAGCTGCCAAGTTTGAAGGCCTCTGGTTTATAGGAACTGGAGTTAATGGTATATGCTTATGTCTTCACAAAAACCAACTGCAGTGCTGATGTACAAAGAAACCCACTCCGTGAGCTGTCCTAGGTCCTGCAGAAATACCTTCCGAGAACTTGATATCTGTTTTCTGGATCTGCTTAGGAGGAAACGTGCCCACTTAACCTCACTCCTACTTTGTTCAACGCCCTGTGAACCAACCATGATTAAGAGGAGTTCTTCTGCATTTTTCATAAGGGTCGAATTCTGAGTAGGATATTTTGGCTTTTCTGAAATAAGACTGGAATCAACTGGAACCTGAAGCTATTTTGGGAAGGGAACTAGAAAGGTTTCGCGGGAACTCTTAATTTTGTTACGTGTGAAACCATTGATGTTTCATAAATGTTTTGTATGCTGGTGTTTCAAATAGAGTAAATTGCTTTGCATATAATTAATATCAGCTTCGGGCAACTGTTCAGTCCTAAAAACTAATAAACAAACCTTCATGTAACTAAAATAACAAGAGAACTGCAAAGTGGGGGGAGGGGAGAATGCAGTCTGTTTATCATAAACTGGTCATTCAATTCCTTTTTCTGGTTAGCCTCCCCTACATACACACATACACCAGTGGTAGATTTCAAAAAAAAATTACTACCGGTTTCTGTGGGTGTAGCTTGGTGGGCGTGGCATGGCTTGGTGGGCATGGTAGGGGAAGGATACTGTAAAATCTCCATTCCCTCCAATCCAGGGGAAGGATACTGCAAAATCCCCATTTCCTCCTGATCAGCTGGGACTCAGGAGGCAGTGAATGGATGGGGGCAGGGCCAGTCAGAATTTTTACTACCGGTTCTCCGAACTAGTCAACATTTCCGCTACCGGTTCTCCAGAACTGGTCAGAACCTGCGATAACCCACCTCTGACACACACATACACACTCAGACAAAACACACACCAGCATTCTAGGACAAC